GGGGGCGGGGGCGGGAGCAGGAGTGGGGGGTGGGACAAGCCGCCCTCTTTGAGGTGATAATTTAAGGCTGCATAGGTGGCCTCTTAGCAGAACATTTGTATGTGTGTATGTATATGTGCATGCATACATGTATATGGGTATGTATAAGCGCACACACGTACATGTATGTAGACACACGTGTACATGTATAAATGCAGGTGTGTACCTGCATGCATCTGTATGTACATGCACACACATATGTGTACATGTAGATACATGTGCATACATACACCTGTATGTGTATATATGCACACATATATGTATACGTACACCCGTTTATGCAGATGCATGTTTGTGTGTATGTGTACATGCATTTATGTGTGCATACAATATGTGTATATATATACAAAAATAAAAATATATGCGCACACACGTGTATATATGTATGTGTATATGTGTGTATGTATGTATATATATTACATATATACTTATTTTATAGAAACCCAAAGGTTCCCATTTGGCTGAGTGCTCACAGCCTCCTGCTGGCACAGCAATACTGTGTGGTCACCCGGTCACCGCCCCCAAATGTGTGGGGTAAGAGGACAGAAAGGGACTGGCCATCTGCATGGACCACATGGCCTTCTCACACCCAGACACCCCCCCCCACCAGCCGAGCCGTGCTGCAGCTGAAGGAGGCTGGGGAGGGGAAGCGCAGAAGGGGGGCTCTCCCAGCGGAGGCCACAGCAGCCCCGGAAGGAGGTAGACAGAGCTGGAGACAAGTTCCAGAGGGTTGGCCCTGGAGTGGCCTGGGGTACAAGGTGGGCAGATCCTGCTGAGGTCTCGGCTGGGACCCAGAGCCATTGGGGCTCCTTATGATCACTGAAAAGCTGGCCCCGCAGAAGTTGGGGAGCAAGTTGGGAGCATGGGTTTGGGTGTCCGCAGAGCAGGGGGGTGAAAAGGTGCAGGGTAGCCTGGGCAGGGGCGGTGAGGGCTGTGCTTACAGTGACCGGGGGCCCTGGGGCATGGGGGCAAGACTGACACTTCTGTCAGACCCAGAGTGCCCTGGGCAGGCGAGGGCCAAGGCGAGCATGAAGCTGAGAACCTGCTGGGATTCAACCCCTGGGACCCCACAGAGATGCCCACCGGAGGGTCTGTGCCTACAGCTCTCCAGCCATGCCCTCTTGCCCAGGGCCATGGCCTACACTGCCCAGCCCCACCCAGCTCAGTGCCAACCCCACCCTGCACTCCGGGCACCTGCTCCTCTCGGCCTCCAGGGCTCCAAGCTCCAGTGGCTCCGAGCTGCTCCTCTAACACTGGGCTTCGGGGGGCAATGGGGCGACATCTTCTCGTGACAGCTTCTGGGGTGCATGGGCCATTTCCCTAAGGCCATTCATCTAGCCCTGATCCCTTAGCAGGGAGTGCTCTGCAAGTTATGCTCCCCGCCCCCTCCCACTGATGTCCTCTCCTCCTTCCCTGGGTTGATTTGCCCAATGGGGCCTGTCCCCTCAACAAACCTCACCTGCAGTTCCCGACCCACCCTCGGATTGCTCATCCCTGCCTATGACCACACCCGTCTTGCCTCAACCCCAAAGGCTCCACGGCTCCCCCTCTATCTGGCCTTCTCTCCTTCCCTCCCTGGCAGCCTGGGTTTGAATCCCATGTGGGCATCAACCAGCTTAGCTCCTTAGAGCCTCTCCTTCCCAGCCCTGCAGGGCGGGGCCGATAACAACTGCCTAGGAGGAGCCCTGGGGGCCTAATGCTTTCCTTGCTGAGCTGCTACCTGCAACGTCAGCAGTTCAAAACCACCAGCCGCTCCACTAGAGAAAGATGAGGCTTTCTACTCCTGTAAAGAGTTACCGCCTTGGGTTGCTGTGCATTGGCATAGACTCGACGTCAGTTGAGGTTGTTTTTTGAGAGTTTGAATCTCCCTGGGGGTGCTGTGGGTCAGGCACTGGGCTGCTAACTGCCAGGTTGGTGGTTCAAACCCACCAACCGCTCCTCAAGACAAAGGTGAGGCTGTCTGCTTCTATGAAGACTGGCAGCCTCCGAAACCCCGTAGTAGAAGGTCTCTGTGAGTCAGAAACAACTCCATGGCCTTGGGTTTGGGCTGGTGCCCCCAAGGGCCTTTGCTACTGAGCTGAAGAACCCGTTCTTGGGGGCCAAGAAGAAGGGCTCACGGGGTGCTGATGAAAGTCCCCAGCCCGAAAGCACAGTTTCACTCTCTAAGGAGCAGCAGGAGGCGGGAACCGACTCGACACACATGGGTTTGCCGTGAGCGGGGATGGTGTTCAGTTTGGCGTTTGGTTCTGCTGCCCCCTCTGTGGTGCTGAGGGCTCTCAGAACTTCAACTGTGGTGGTCCTCGCCAGGGCCTCCCACCGTTCCCCAGCTCAGACCCGTTCCGGCCCTCTGAGTGATGCTCCCTTCGTCTGTCCTGCACACCCCAGCTGCTCCAGTGACCCCACAAAGGGCCCTCTGAGGGCACTCGCCCTGAGGGCTCCTCTGAACCTTTCCCCAGCCTGTCGGAACCCTTCCCACCACCAGCCCAGGAACTGGCCAAGCTGAACTGCCAGGCCTGCAGGGCAGGCGTCACACGCCGCCCTGCCCCTCCTGGGCCCTCCCTCTCAGGCACACACCTGCTCAGGGGAGGGTGGGATGGGGTGTTCCAGTCTGTGCTGGTTTGAACACCCCAAATCTGGAACGCTGGCGTGTTCCTTCACCTGGTTTCTGAGCAGGACAGGAGGGCGCTCACTAAACGTGGCTCCTGGCTTAGGAACCCAAGGAGCCTGGTGGCATCGCGGTTACGAATTGGGCTGCCACCCGTGAGGTCAGCAGTTTGAACCCACCAGCTGCACTGCCAGAAACACACGAGGCTTTCACTCCTGTCAAGAGCGACAGTCTCGGAAACCCACAGGGGCAGTTCTACGCTGTCCTGCAGGGCCGCTAGGAGTCGCTGAGGACAGGGTTCTATTCCCATGAGTCTGGTGTCGACCCATTCCCACTTAGAGTTGTATTTTTTCAGGCCTTTAGCAACCTGATCTGCATGTGTCTTTGGGGGGAGGGAGCATGTCTGTGTGGTGACAGGCCACGGGACCCCCAGCATCTTGTGCCTTGCAGCTCTCTGCATGGAGTACAGGTTCCTAGCGATAAGATGTCCCCACCTCACGCTAAGCCCTGCTAAAAAAGAAAAGAAAAGAAAAAGATGTCCCTAAGTGTGGTAGGCCCTCACCTGAGTACATCATAAGTCAGGGATAACCTGTCCCTGGAAGACTCCCAGGGCCCTCACTTCCCTTGCACACTCCCTCTTCCCACCTGCAGCAGCAGGCACCCAGCCCTGCCAAGCACAGTGGTGCAGGTTGGGCACACAGCAGATGCCATCACATTGCTGCCCTTGTTGCAGGATCCATCAACTCATCGCGACGCAGCGTGACCACATGGGGATGCAGCATGAGGCCCCCAAGCTGTCATCTCTAGGCACACGGAATCCCCAGACCTTACTCCCTGGGAGCCACTGGGGCAGCAGGGCAGCACTTCTCTAGGGACCGCCGGAGCTCTCGGGGCCATGTTTGCTGCTGCCGCCAGGGCCACGGAGTCGGCTCCGACCCACATCGACCCTACCCACCAGAGAAGGAGCTACTGCTCGGTCCGCACCCTCCTACAATGAACCGCTCCTGGGCCTGAGCTACATGAACCTGAAGACCAAGCCTGCCGAGCGAGGCCCAGTGGATTCCGACTCAGGCCCCTCGGGACAGGGAAGGACTTCCCCAGAGGGGGCTCAAGGCTGCAGCTCGCTACAGAGGCCAACGGCCACATCTTTTTTTCAAGAAGCCACTAGGGCAGCGGCTCTCAACCTGTGGGGCGTGACCCCTTTGGGGGTCGAACGACTCTGTCACAGGGGTTGCCCGATTCATCACAGTAGCAAAATAACAGTGATGAAGTAGCAGCAAAATGAATTTTATGGTTGGGGGTCACCAGCACATGAGGACCTGTATGAAAGGGTCGAGGCATGAGGAGGTGGAGAACCACTGCTCTAGGTGGATTCAAACGGCCGACATTTAGGTTAGCAGCTAAGCTCTTGATCACGGAGCCAGCATCAAAAACCAAAACAACAGAGAAGTGGGTGAAGGGAGACATCGGTCAGTGTAATGTATAAAAATTTTTAAAATAAATGATCAAGGGTTCATGAAGGAGGGAAGGGAAAATATGAGGAGCTGATGCCAACGGCTCAAGTAGAAAGAAAGTGTTTTGAAAATGATGATGGCAACAAATATACAAATGTGCTTGATACCATGGACATACGTATGGATTGTGATAAGCGTTGTACAAGCCCCCAATAAAAATAATTTTAAGAAATCAGAAAACAAAACAAAACCCATCTGCCGTCGAATCAATTCCGACTCATCGTGACCCCAGGTAGGCTTCCTGAGAGTGTAAATCTTTACAGGAGCAGCCGGCCCTACCTTCCTCCTGCTGCCACGGATCTATCTATATATTAAGGATGGTGATTTCCCTGCAGAGGGAAGGGGAGGGTCCAGAGGAGGGCATGGCACCCTTAGGAGCCGTCACCAAGTACACAATCCTTCTGTGCTGGAGGGTCAGTGCGGGAGGGTCGTACCTTCTTTGGGGGAGACCCAGGCCCATTCCCACTCAGGACACCCCCTGAGGAGCCACCTCCCTTCTGTCTGTGTGAGGTGAAGCTGACCAAGTTTCAGGAGAGAGTCCACACTCAGAGGGCCAAGGAACAAAGGGCCAGCAGTCCGCTTCAGAAAGCCAGCCCATGAGCCACAATGGTCTGGTCTGTGAGGGCTCATGGGGATGGCGCAGGACTGTGGATCACCTGGAGTCAGGGCCAGTGTGAGGGCACCTTACAATCACAACAACAGTACAGCTACTTAGGAGGCCGCTGAGCAGACAGAG